ACAATGGATTCATGGTCATCATTAGATTTTTAATTCCAGATATTTATTGAATTCAAATTCCACCATCTGCCATGGTGGGATTCAAACTCGGGTCCCCAGAATGTTATCTCGGTGTCTAGATTAACAGTCCAGCAATAATACCACTGGACCATCGCCTCCCCATTCCTGCGATAGGGTGATATATATAGGTCCAAATGTTATACAAAGACTTAAGGAAGAATGTTGATTCAGTTCTAGATGAGCTGGGTGGCACAATGGTTCAGTGGTTAGCACTGCTGCCTCACAGCGCCAGGGACCAGGGATTGACTCTAGCCTTGGCCAACTGTCAGTGTGGAGTTTGCACATTCTCCCTGTGTCTGTGTCACTTTCCTTTGGGTGTTCTAGTTTCCTCTCACAGTCCAAATATGAGTAGGTTAGGTGGATTGGCCATGCTAAATTACCTATACTGTGCAGGAATATGCAGGTTAGGTGGATTGGCCATGGCAAATGTGGAGTTACAGGGATAGGAAAGGGTAGGGGGCTGAGTCTGAGTGGGATGCTCTTCAGAGGTTGGTGCAGTCTCAATAGTCTTAATAGCCTCTATCTGCATTGTCGGGATTCTATGAAGCTACAAATCTATCATCACTGCACAATTTTAACAGACCTAGTTCCAGTTATCATCAGTAATTTGAGTACAATGACAATGGCTGTTGTATTACATTCAGATGATGTTACCATTTTTCTTGGTTCCTTGATTGCTGCCAAAGGATGGAGCAATGAAGATATAAAGTGGGATCTCAATATTATAAATTCAACATTGATGCTGAGAGGCTGGAAATGATGCACAACAAACAGATTGTGAAAGAAAATTTCCACTGACCACAATCCTGTGTCATAATTAACATCCGTCTGTTAGATCATACTTGAGTGTCTGACCATATATCTGCACCATGACTAAGTGACCTCTTTCCATTTTCCCTACACCCCCTAACTTTACCCCCGTCTCAGCTCATCTGCTGTTGAAATCCTCATCTACGCCTTTGTGACCTCAAGTCTTCACTATTCCAGTGACCTCTGGCTACCCTCCCGTCTCTGAGCTCGTGCATATTTCTACTGTTAATCCTAACCCGCATCAAGTCCCATTCACCCACTGCCCCTTTCTCACTGTCCTACAGCAACTCCCAGGCAAGGAACCACCTGGACTGGAAAATTATCATCCTTGATTTCAAACCTCTCCATGGACTCACTCTCCCTGTCTCTGTATCACCTCCAATCCTGGATTTCTGCATCCTTTAACTCTGGCCTCTTCAATATTCTTGATTTTAATTGCTTCACATTGGTGGCAGTACCTTCAGTTGTCTGAGCACTAAGCTCTGGAATTCTTTTCCTAAATCTCTTCACCTCTGTCCCTTCCTTTCCTCCTTTAAAAGGCTCGTTAATAACTTCACCTATGCCCAAGATTTTAATCCCAATATCTCCTGAGCAAGATGCCAGATTCTTTACCCCATAATTCTCCTGTGAAGCAACTTATGCTGTTTTCTCACATTCTGGGTGCTAGACAAATGCAAGTTGCCGGTGTGGAAGTTTTCGACTCAAATTGCTGGGATGCAGCAATTCTAACTTGCACAGGTTTCCAACAATCACAGTCCATGTTGGAGTGGGGACATTGGCAGAGGTTGGTTAAAGTGAACAGTCCAACAAATATCTTCAGCAAAACCCCTGTTTGTGAATGCGGAAAGTGAAGGACTGTGTGTTAAACAAACCACGGGAAACCCCAGCAACTGCTTAACCAACTAAGCAATGAACCCAGCACCTTAAGGGAAATGTCCCTGGCAGCGATCCATTAAGATAAACCTCGCTGGACTACACTTAATCGGGAGGAGTCCTGTGATGCACTGGTAGTGTCCCTATCTCTAGGCCAGGAGATCTAGGTTTAAGTCCCATCCACGCTGGAGGTGTTAGATAACATCCCTGAACAGGTTGCTTAGAAAATATCTATACGATTAACACCAACATCTTGGTAAAGATTCTCTCTTTTTTTCTCTCTTTGGGCTCTATCCTATCGTTTACTTCCTACCCCACCCACCTCCCTATTTTCTGCATATAAACTGACGTTTTCCCAGCCACTATCATTCCCTAGGAAGGGTCACTGGACCCGAAACATTAACTCTGTTTTCTCCTCCACAGATGCTGCCAGACCCACTGAGCTTTTCCAGCAACTTTGTTTTTGTTCTTGGTAAAGATTGCTGGGGCACGTTGGTAGTGTCTGGGCCAGAAGGTTTTGGGTGCAAATCCTACCTCTCCTGCAGGTGTGTAATAACATTTCATGCATGTTTATCAGATATGGTCTGTTCTGATGAAAGGCCATCATCTTGGAACATTTATTCTGCTCCAGGAATTTGAGTTTTTCCAGGATTTTGGGTCTTGTGGCACTACCTCTGTGCCTGCAAGGGTACACGTTCCACTGGCCCAGAGGTACGTTGGAACAGGTTGATTAAAAATATACGCTTTGCACTTTTGTACTCTTATGGCACAGTGGTAATGTCCCCACCTCTGGTCCAGACGGCCTGGGCTCAAGTCCTAGCTGTTCCAGAGGTATCATCCAAACTGACTTATTGGAAATTATCCATTTGGTATCTAAGTTGAGACTTGCAACTTAAACAAGTGTTAAAAATATTGAGACTCTTAAGTTTTGCCATTAATACATTAAGGCTATCTAATTGTATAAGACAGCAACTGCTGACGTAGCATGGTTCAAATCTTGGTTGCAGTATTGACATTTGTAGCGATTGGAACCAGGTGGATTTCATTGGCTGTGAGGTCCTTGACTGGGGTTGTTAACCTGGATCAATCAGGGAGCACTGGCTGACTAATTTAAATAAAGGATTTAGAATCTCAGTTCAGGGACTGACTCCGAGCTGGCTGACCACAGCCAGTGTACTGTGCACGGGTAAATAAAGGGTGACTTGGTGATGGGATACCGGCCTCTGTGCAATTATTTCAGCATTTATTGGAAGTTTTAGAGTACTTATAAATAGCAAAGATTGTGTGAAGGAGTGTCTGAATGTGGGAGAACCAATCCACTTGATAGGGTGTAAACCACACTTCAAAAACTAACACATATCTTTCTCTCACTGCTTTGTATTCCAAATATCTGGCCAGTCAAAAACAGAAACTGATGGAGAAATTCAGCAGGTCTGGCAGCATCTGTGGGGTAAGAAACAGAAATAACATTTCAGGTCCAGTGACCCTTCTTCAGAATGTATAGTAGTCTGAAAAAGGTGATAGCTGCTAGCAGTTATCGGTTCTGAAAAACAACCAAATAAGAACCGAAGGAACTGCGGATGCTGTAAATCAGGAACAAAATCAAAGTTGCTGGAAAAGTTCAGCAGGTCTGGCAGCATCTGTGGAGGAAAAAACAGAGCTAATGTTGCGGGTCCAGTGACAGCCACATTGGACTTGGTTTCTCTCTGTACAGATGCTGCCAGATGTGCTAAACTTCTCCAGCAATTTCTGTTTTTGTTTCAGATCCGCAGTTCTTTGTTTTATCTGCCAAGTCAATCTTTGAATAGAGCAAATCACCGGCCTCCTTCAAGCATTTATTTCCCATCACATTATTGTCTTGGAAGCTTGTTAAATCTGAGGGGGAAGCAACATCTAGACAGAGCACCTATTTGCTCAGAGTTCATCCCTATTCCTTATTCAAGAAGATATACTGAAAGAATCGATTTTTAACTTGTTATGAAATGTTTTTGCTGCGCTGTGAATGTACTCATGGGGTGATGTTCCAAGTGAACATTACACGCAGCCATCGACAACTTCAGTCAGGCTCTCGCAGAAAGCTCCAGATGAATACACGGCCTGCAATCTGTATAGCTGCTCTGGGAAACAAGGCAATCCATTTTCTCACTCATGTCACTTGAACAGACAATGACAAGGCGCCCCATCATGACGCGTCTTCCCAATGCAACACAACAGTCCAAGTTTAAAGGGAAGGTTATGTTTTGGGTTATGAACAGGTAACTGTTTTGAACAACAAAATATTCCTGCGCAGGCTTTCAAACTGCCTGAAAGATTTGCGAAGTTCTTTTGTTTTCTGAATGCTGTTATTCAAAGTGACACGGTCCAGTGTTGATGAGGGACCACGCCGCGTACATCACAAAGTGGATGATTTTCATTACCAGCAATTATCAGTCTGAGTGCAATATGATACAATGCAGTTGATAAGAATTCACAGTCACACTCCAAGCAGCTTTGTAAAGCTCAGCGATCACAGTCATAAACTGTGCATTATTTACGCTGTTAATATGATGGCATAACATTTAGGACTGGTTCATACAATGAAGTCTTCTTAAATTCCATTATCAGATATTATTTAAACAGGGGCAAAATATTCACTGCTTGACAATGTATAGAGGCTGCTGTTTTTTTTATAGAAACAGTCCCACTCTACATGCAAACTCCTGCCAGTTATAATGAAAGGTCAATTTATAATCAAGGCTCACGCACAATACAGTCTACCTGAAGCTGCACAATTAAAGCCTTTTTTTCAGATGACATTAATGGGACTGACAAGATAGCACGCTTTGATGATTAGCCAGGACATTAATTATTTTCCCAATTTCATTTCGCAAGATGGGCAGTTGCTTGAGGCACAGTGTATGCTGCAGGAAACAGGATACTGGTGAAAAACTGATCTCTCTCTCTCTCTCTCTCACATCCATTCAATGCTCCAAAGCTCATTTACACCTTTAGCAGCACTGCCCAACATAACAGTCGTTCAATTCCCTGTCTGCAGAGCCAAAAATAACCACAGCATAATTCGGTTTATTCAACAGAATGAAAAAGCTGCCTGAAGTTTCCATACATTTTCGATAAAGGAGCATCTCCTAGCCTTGCAATGATGTGAAGAAGCCAGCACTGGCATGCCTGGTAACTGGAAGCAGCTGTAATACAGACTGACAGTGAGGCAGGAATATGCTGCTCACAGCCTGGTGCAGACAGAGAAAGGATCCCCTTACCTTCTCATTGCTGCTCCTTTTCAGGGTTCCGTATCGAATTCTGAACAAGGGTCTCCTGGCCCTTGCAGGCGAGACTGCAGTCTGTACAACCATAGTGCAGGCTCAAAGCGAAAAGGCAAACAGCAAAATAGAAAAGAAACTGAGCAACTTCCAAATCCTGTGTCTACACCAGATTCTTGAAATTCCAGAGCTCGGCACACAGGGGTTTCACTGCATCTGCAGGATGATCCTGCTGGGGATTTTTTAACTTCACTCCCCCCTCTTGCTGTCAGAGAGAAAATGTGAAGAACCCTCCAGTGAGACTCGCCCTCTGCTCTTACAAACACGCCGCTCTCTTATTCTACACCACCCTGTCTCTCAGGAACAGAAACAGGAAAGCCTTTGGGAGAGAGACGTTACCAAAATGTCAAGTTTAGTCTTTGCTATCAGTAGATGGTGTGACAGGGTCAGTTTCCTAATCTGCCTGCATCAGTGTTAAATGGGCCACATGATACAGGACTCCCCTGGTTTGTTGCAAAACAGGTCACATGGCCGATTCAGGAAGAATTTCTGATGCATCACCATCTGGCTGCAGAGATGACTGCGAGCACTGAGCTTTTACAAGACCACAGCACAGCTAAAGTGATTCCTGATGTGAGCAAACTTCAGAAAGACTTCAGCTTCACTCTTTCACACAGATTGCACTGAGAGGCTGTAATCTCATTACACAGCACCATCAGATGAGAGGCCGTAATCTCATTACACAGCACCATCAGATTGCACTAACAGACTGTAATCTCATTACACAGCACCATCAGATTGTAATGAAAGGCTGTAATCTCATTACACAACACCATCAGATTGCACTAACATACTGTAATCTCATTACACGGCACCATCAGATTGCACCAACAGACTGTAATCTCATTACACAGCACCATCAGATTATAAGGAGGCTGTAATCTCACCACTCAACACCATCAGATTGCACTAACAGACTGCAATCTCATTACACACCACCATCAGATTGTAATGAAAGGCTGTAATCTCATTACACAACACCATCAAATTGTAATGAGAGACTATAATCTCATTACACAGCATTATCAGATTGTACTGAGGGTCAGTAATCTCATTACACAGCACCATCAAATTGTAATGAGAAGCTGTAATCTCATTACACAGCACCATCAGATTGTAATGAGAGACTATAATCTCATTACACAGCATTATCAGATTGTATTAAGGGGCTGTACTCTCAGTACACAGCACCATCAGATTGTAATGAGGGTACACAGCACCATCAGTTTGTAATGAGAGGCTGTAATCGCATTACACAGCACTATCATCTTGGAAAAAACTCAAAAACCAAGACTAAGCACACCACTGTTACCATCTCCTTACCCTTGTTCTGTGTAGCCTACTTTGTACATCTGGGCAGCTAGTGATACCAGATAAGGGAGAAACTGCAATTCTAAATTTACATGGGAAGCAACTTCTGCATGTGTGATATATCTTAGTGCTATCATGTAATTGTGTAATGCTAACATACAATCCTTATTGTCATTTTATGGAGGCAAGTAGAGGTTATAACACCAACTCTACAAAATTAGTGTGAAGGAATGCAGTAGACAATTTTATCTACTTTGTTTTAAGGTAAAACCCATCTCCCAACTTTTGTTTATGAATGAAAAAAAAACAAATTATTTAATCCAATGGAAGATAAATAATAGTGAAGGATGAAGGTTGGAGTGAAAAGACTGGATGCGCATTTTCATTGAGTCACAGCTCAGGGAGATGTGGGCACAATGATATTCATTTCCACTTGTACCTGCTTCAGGTAGAGAACCTGTCAATGTGGATTACCAAACCACTCTTCGATCTCCTTTTTAAATAACTCCAATTTTTTTTTGTGATTTATCTATTATGCGATTTTAAATGTTACTGAAAGCAACACCTTCACTTTGTTTCTTCTTTACGACAAATCCATAAATCAGGAGAGACAGATTTTTGTTTTATCCATTAATGGGATGTGAGGGAGCAGCAGCACAGTTCCAAGTCAGGATGGTGAGTGCTCGGAGGGAAACTTGCAGGGGATGGTGTCCTCATGTATCTGTCGCCCTTGTCTTTTGAGATGGAATTGGTTGTGGGTTTAGAAGGTTCTAAGGAGCCTCGGTGAATTTCTGCAGTGCATCTTGTAGATTGTATACACTGCTGCTACTGAGTGCTGCTGTGGAAGGGAGAGGATGTTTGTGGATGTGGTGCTAATCAAGCGGGGGCTGCTTTATCCAGGATGGCGTCAAGCTTCTTGAGTGTTGTTGGGGCTGCATCCATCCAGGCAAGTGGGGAGTATTCCACCACACTCCTGACTTGTGCCTTGTAGATGTTAGGCAGAATAGGAGGAGTGAGGAGGTGAGTTACTTGATACACACTTCCTAGCCTCTGAGCTGCCCTTGTAGCCACTGCGTTTATGTGGTGAGTCCAGTTCTACTTCTGGTCAATGGCATCCCCCAGGATGTTGATAGTGGGGGATTCAGTGATGGTAACACCACTGAGCATCAAGAGGACATAGCTTGACTCTGAGGCTGAAGGACATTGTTGCCTGGCACTTATGTGGCGTGTATGTTATTCCTCACCTATCAACTCAAGCCTCAACGTTGTCCAGGTCTCGTTAAATGCAAACACAGCCTGCTTCACTACGTGAGGAATTATAAATGGTACTGAACACTGTAAGATTTTCTAGAAAAGTCTCCACTTCTGACCTTATGATGGAGGGAAGGTTAATGATGAAGCAGCTGAAGATGGTTGGGCCTAAGACACTACCCTGAGGAACTCCTGCAGAGTTGCCCTGGAGCTGAGATAGCTGACCTCCTACAACCACGACCACCTTCCTCGATCTTCCTCAGTGCTCATTATGAGTCCAAAGGTACAGAACTTCCACCCAGCTCCCAATGACATGAATTTTACTGTGTAGAGTATATCTAATTCAACCTCCTGTGATAGACAGTACAGAGTCTGAAAGCATTCAGAATTTTAAGCATGTCTCATATTCTAATGTTCCAATCCTAGACATTTCGATGAAAAGATTGTATGCAATCAACAGAATAAAAAGTGTTTTTCTGTCTCTGATTTTGTCAATTGCATCTTTCCTCAGTTTCTTCATTGTTGGAAATTTACATTGGGTTGGTCTCTCGTCAACCTTGATTTTAAAATGCTCATCCTCGTTTACAAACAATGGCCTTGCTCCTCCCTATCTGACATCACAGGTAGGTTCTTTACTCAGAGAGTGGTAGGGACATGGAATGCATTGCCGGAGAGGGTAGTGGAGTCAGCCTCATTAGGGGCATTTAAGTGGCTATTAGATAGGCATATGGATGATAGTATAAGGTAGGGGTGGAGGTTAGATAGACCTTAGGATTAGGGTAAAAGTTCGGCACAACATCGTGCGCCGAAGGGCCTGTACTGTGCTGTATTGTTCTATGTTCTATCTCTGTAATGCCCTGTAGCGCCTAAACCCTCCCTATCTCTGTAACGCCCTGCAGCCCCTAAACTCTTCCCTATCTCTGTTATGCCCTGCAGCCCCTAAACTCCTCCCTATCTCTGTAATGCCCTGCAGCCCCTAAACCCTTCCCTATCTCTGTTATGCCCTGCAGCCCCTAAACTCCTCTCTATTTCTGTAATGCCCTGCAGCCCCTAAACCCCTCCCTATCTCTGAAACGCACTGCAGCCCCAACGCCCCTCCCTATCGATGTAACCTCCTCCAACCTTGAGAACAGGCTTTGTGCGCAGCAAATCATGTGTCAGTAACTTAATTGAGTTTTTTTTGAAGAACAAATGAAGAGGATTGATGAGGGTAGAGCAATGGACCTGATGTATATGGTCTTCAGTAAGGCATTTAACAAGGTTCCTCATGGGAGACTGGTTAGCAAGGTTAGATCACATGGAATACAGGCAGAACTAGCCATTTGGATACAGAACTGGCTCAAAGATAGAAGACAGAGGGTGGGGTGGTGGAGGGTTGCTTTTCAGACTGGAGGCCTGTGACCAGCAGTATGCCACAGGGATCCATGCTGGGTCCACTGCTTTTTGTAATTTATACAAATGATTTGAATGTGAACACAGAAGATATGGTTAGTAAGTTTGCAGATGACGCTAAAATTGGAGGTGTAGTGGACAGGGAAGAAAATTACCCCAGCGTTCAACGGGACCTTGATCAGTTGGGCCAATGGGCCGAGGAACGGCAGATGGAGTTTAATTTGGGTAAATGTGAGGTGCTGCATTTTGGAAAGGCAAATCAGGGCAGGCTTATACACTTGATGGTAAGGTCCTGGGGAGTGCAGGTTCATATTTCCTTGAAAGTGGAGTCCCAGGTAGACAGGATAGTGAAGCAGGCATTTGGTACGCTTGCCTTTATTGGTCAGTGCATTGAGTACAGGAATTAGGAGGTCATGTTGTGGCTGTAAAGGACATTGGTTAGGCCGCTTTTGGAATACTGTGTGCAATTCTGGTCTCCCTGCTATAGGAAGGATGTTGTGAAACTTTAAAAGATTCAGGAAAAATTTACGAGGATGTTGCCAGGGTTGGAAAGTTTGAGCTATAGGGAGAGGCTGAATTGGCTGGGGCTATTTTCCCTGGAGCATCGGAGACTGAGGGGTGACCTTATAGAGGTTTATAAAATCATGGATAGGGTAAGTAGGAAGGTCTTTTCCACAGGGTTGGGGAGTCCAAAACTAGAACGCACAGGTTTAAGGTGAGAGGGGAAAGATTGACAAGGGACCCAATGGGTAACCTTTTCACACAGAGGTTGGTGCGTGTAAGGAACGAGCTGCCATAGAAAGTGATGGTGGCTGGTACAATTACAACATTTAAAAGACATCTGGATGGATATATGAATAGTAAGGGTTTGGAGGGATATGGGCCAAATGCTGGTAAATGGGACGAGATTAATTTAGGATATCTGGTCAGCATGGATGAGTTGGACTGAAGGGGTCTGTTTCCGTGCCGTACATTGATATGACTCTATGACTCCTTCCTATTTCTGTAACCTCCTCCTGCCCCTACACACCTCCCTATCTCTATAACGCCCCTCCAGCCTCTAGACCTCACCCTATGTGAGTTTGATTCATTATTGTCACATACTGGGATACAGTGAAAAGTGTTGTTTTGCACACTGTACAGGCAGATCGTACCATACAGAGTGCGAGAGGGTAGCAGAAGAGAGTCCAGCATGCAGTGTTACAGCTGCAGAGAGAGACATCAGAATTAACATAGAGTCATACAGCAGAGAAACAGACCCTTCGATCCAACCAGTTCATAATCCCAAACTAAACTAGTCCCACCTGCCTGCTCCTGGCCCATATCCCTCCAAACCTTTCCTATTCATGCATCTATTCAAATGTCTTTTAAACTTTACAATTGTACCCACTGCCACCAATTCATCAGGAAGTCAACCACCCTGTGTGAAAAATTT